GTAAGGCGACCTATTCACGTCAGTTTGATAGATTCGGGTAGTAAGTTTCACATATATTGAATTAGTACGCTTGATTCTGTTCAATCTCATTTTAGAATCACTGATCCCTGAAATGACATGAAAGAAACAGAAACAATATCGACAGGTGTTATGCGCCATTCTCTTTTGCACTTAATTTATTTGCATTTCTTCACATTTATCTACACTACAGTGGCATCCGTGAAGAAGGTGACACATTTTGTAGGGTCTTCTTTATGTATCAACACCTACGACAAAGTTAAAAACGACAAAGTTAAAAACGACAAAATCAAACGACAAGATAGCAACTGCTGGGTTCCAAGCAGTTAGCCTGTTAACAAATTTGACAAATGAATTTCGCATGAATTTATGAAAAAAACAGAAACGACATCATTTTAAAGACTGCTTATCAATGTTCTACTAAAATAACTGCGATAGGATTTCTTTTTAACATTTGACAAATGGATTCAACATGAATTTACAAAAGAATTCAGAAATGGCGTCGTTTTGAAGTCTGCTCATCATTGTTCACGCGCAACAAAAAACAAACTATATATGAAATAATTCATCAATTTTTATGAAAAATGGATCCTTTATAATAATGACAAATGTATCATCATCACTTACGTGCCGTAATCCTTGAGTACGTTGGCGATCATGGTCCTTCATAACTTCCCGTCCTTTGTAACTCTAAAACAACAATGTTTGATCTTCATAAGTTGAAAAGTTGTGATATTTTTGAAGGAACTTTTGATCTGAGTCAAGTATTCTTATCAGATAGCGAAATGAAAGTTATCTTGAATGATCACTCTTCAAGTCATTTAATACAGGTTTCCTCAGGGCTTTATACTTGGGTATACGTTTTTCCTAATTTTCGACCAGCCCAATGTCATCAGTTCATAACTCGATATCTATGCTGATGACACAACTACTTACTCCAGTTTTAATAATATATATTCAATAAGGTGATCAATAATATATATGATCGTGATTTTCTATCCATTCACACCAACTGATTAGTTAAATTACTTACTATTTCACTCTACTTCTATTTCCTTCAATGTCATATAAGCATTAAGTTTTCTAAGTAGTTCTTCTCCATAATGTGACCTAGAAATTTCAACTGTCTCTTTCTGATTATAAGTATGAGAATTTTTACAGATTCCCTTTTTTTTACTAGAACTTTCTCGTTGCTCACGTGCTGTGTCAATGGTATCCTCAGCTTCCATCTTCGAAACTTTTGGAGGATATTTTGCTGAAAAAAACTTTTGCTTATCTTATAAAGATAATGTTTTATTTTTCTTATAACCCAATATATTTGATTTGTTTGGGGAATATTTACAGTTGCTTAAAACTATGATTTTATAATTGAACCGTATTCAGATATCGAATAAGTTAAACAGTAGAAAAATGGTTGTGAATGTGATCTCGGCGTTCTTGGAGCCAGGAACGATAATCGATAAGCAAGGTTTCTTATGCCAACGAATTTTTGTTTCGTTTACAAAAGCAGCAAAAAGCCGCATCACCTCGCATCAAATATAATGAGCAAATTGCATCGCGGCTTTATCGTGAGACGCTTGATCTTCAACGACATCAGAAGCGTGCTTATTCTCATGTGAAACACGAACTGAACGATGGCACGCTGACCTCGCCAGGTTTTTCCCGCCACAGAGAACACAACAGTTAGTGGTATTTCACTGTGTTTACAGGCATTTTCACCCCGCCCAGCCTCGTTACCATTATTATTTTTCGGCTGGGAAGAAGAAAGTCTGGCAAGCTTTCGTTTTCCTGAAGGTACCAGGACTCGTAAAAACATTTAAGAAATACGATTATCTTCCATTTAAATTGACATGAGAGATCCAGCATTCAGGAAAGACTTGCGTGAGTGTATGGGATTATAAAGTATGATTATATGTAAAACACGCATATATATATATATATATATATATATATATATATATATATATATATATATATATATATATGTGTGTGTGTGTGTGTGTGTGTGTGTGTGTATTTAGGCAGCAATCCTTCTTTCATGCACATTTCATTAAATACGACAGAAGGTGCTTTGATTTAGTTTTTATACAATTTCTCATGTGATCTAATTTTTTTTTTCTTTTCAGATGATAAATTATATAAAAACTGTCCAATTGTTCTGTTTTACCCGAGCGCTTTCGGCTATACATTTAGCCATTTTCAAGGTTGAAATATATTGACTGTTAACAAGATAACATTATATAAATACATACATACAACAATCTATTTCTTTCTTGTATCGTAGTACGATATATCACGTTGGCGGCCCTTAGACAAGAAATTGAAAATTCATAGGCAGCTATCTGACTGGACACTTTGGCCAATATTATCCAAGCAGTAGTTCGTCGTACTAATAAATATCTGGATGCTAAAGTATTTTTTTCAGTATCATTTGTGATTTTAGAGTCCAAAGCTAACTTGTATCAATTTTGTGATGTCTGATTTTCTGAATTAATGTCTGAATAAAATTTTGTGTTACAATATCAATAGAAGTTTTTCTTTTAAGTGCGTATACATTTTAGGGCGGGCATATATCATGCATAGATAGTACCAGCCTGATATATCTGTAAAAAGACAATACGACTAAATACAATAGGAAAACTATTCTTTACCAACACATTTCGCCCGCTGAGGGACATTATACATACATACATACATAGTTAAATTCCCAGATGAATTCTGTGGACAAGACAGATTAGTATCAAATGACAATTGGAAAAAAATCTTACATTTTGCCGACGCGTTTCGTCTTCCGACTTTTTCAAGGCAAAAATGAAATCGAAATGTTTTTGTTGTTATAGTTACATTAAAAATCCAAATTTAAAAAGATAGACGCTTCTGTCTAAGCCTTTTTTTTCTTTTTTTCTGGTTAATGTAATTTACTTTTATAGTAAGGGATTATTATTTTTTTTTTTACCATGTCGACAATATAGTTAAATTCCCAGATAACAACAAAAACATTTCGATTTCATTTTTGCCTTGAAAAAGTCGGAAGACGAAACGCGTCGGCAAAATGTAAGATTTTTTTCCAATTGTCATTTGATACCACATACATATATATATATATATTGTACGCTCCGGCCTTCTTCAGGTGGTTGGAATTTCGAACTGAACCCTTTATTTCGATCACTGGGGTAGACTGTTATAGACCTGATCCTGCCTTATGTGACGGGGTTATCAGAGAAAATACAAAGGATCTGCGGTCCATATAACATCAGGACAACCTTCAAAAAGCGTGACAACACTTCGCAGATATCTCTCACGAGTGAGACCCCCACAAAGAGGAACATGACTAAAAGACTGTGTGTACGCTATCCCGTGCAGCTGCGGAAAGGAATATAAAGGAGAGACAGGCCGCCCCCTCAGGGTAAGGCTTCAAAGAACACCAGAAAGCTGTAACGCGAGGGGAAGTAGAAAAAATCAGGCGTGGCTGACCACATATGGAGAGAGAAGGGAGATCACCGCCCCTGTGGGATCATGTTCAGATCATAGACAGGGAACACCATTGGAAAATTCGTAAACTTAAGGAATCAGCACATATGCTAGGCCACAAAAATGTCCTGAGCCGACCAAGCATAGAAATAAATACAATATAGGAACCAGTAATAAGGAGTGCCAGAAAAAAAACGAAGATAACAAAGTTGCAATATGAACTCTGGTAAAGACATGCAATGATAACAGCAAAATTGCAATATGAGCACTAGTAAAAAATGATGCTGAAAAACATTAGGTTTATAATACTCAGAAGTTCATACCCAGATGTCCTCACATGGCACAGTGGATAAAGGCGTTGATTAGATCCAGTGACAGACCCAAAGAAAGTGAGTTCAATTCCTGGTTAAGGCAGTGGAGAACTTTCAGAGGGAAAATTAGCAGAAGAAAACTGATAACTGACATCCATCAAAAATGGCACGTGGAACTAGAACAGTCTACCCCAGTGATCGAAATAAAGGGTTCAGTTCGAAATTCCAACCGCCTGAAGAAAGCCGGAGCGTACAACGGCCGAAACGTTGTGACAAATATGGCGACAAAGATGAGGACAATAGTCCGACTAATGGAAATGGACAAAGTCCGACAATTATTTTAAGACATTTTTATGTTGATACATTCATTTTATAGATACAAATCTTTAAGTAAATGCTCCGTTTATAATAAACAGCATTTACCGGCCTGAATGTCCGAGAAATTTTCACAGAAAATATTCGTCCGCCAACAGTATTCGAACCTATATCGTATACGGAACCGTCATTTAAATACAGTAAATTCAACCTTGCTAACCGAACGCTCCTTCGTGGCCAAATCGGTAAAGGCACGTCAAGCTAAATGACGGTATGAATACAACTGGACATAATATCCGGTCTCTGATTTAAAAGATATATATATACTAGCAGCATGGCCCGGCGTTGCCCGTGCTTTTATTCAAAATCATACGAGAATCATACAGCAATCGCTATCACATGGTTTAAAATATTTTTTGTATTTTGCCTTTAAAAAACAATCCCTTTTCCGTGCTGATGTTTACATACTTAAATTACTTCTTAAATATCTCAAACGTCATTCCATCTGTTACGAAAAAAGAATTAAACAAAATGAACACAAAACGATCAGCTTTAAAAAAAAGATTCGTTTTGCAGGAAAAAAGCCGAATGAAAAAAAGAATGTTAACGACAATAATTTTCAAATTTGTAACCTAGTTCTGCGAATCAGAATCAACGTTGAGTAAAAATAACATGCAGATTTAAATTTTTCCCACTTGTGACGAATGCAGCTATCGATTTTTTTTATGATGCTAGCATGATATTAGCATTCTGATCAGTCAGGGTTGGCTCTCACAAGTAATAAAATCTTCCTGCCAACATATTCCTGGCAAATCAGACGTCTGTGTTACTTTTATTTTAGCTTAAATTAGACGACAAACTATCCATCGAAAACTGTTGGAATTA